ACATGTACTCCCGACTTTCCCGCGTTATATGCTCTGGGTGTCTGGACACACTACTGGGACACACACAAACGTAACATTTTATGTAAATGAGTTGAGTACAGACAGTTATACATTGTATCAAAAATGTTTATGCTACAGTTATGTTTTGATTAGTAGTGATAAAATCAGTGGCAATTTCATTAGGTACTTGCTCTGATGTATCAACATTTACCACAATCTGATTGTCCAATGTTTAGTGAAAACGATTGTAAATCGCAGTACTGAGCAATTAATTCATGTGTTGCGCCCTCTGACGACGATTGTGTTGTGTTTTCAGTAGTCAATGGTGGCGCAACACACGACAATTCAACTGACACACCCACGAAACAGGAACTAAGTTGATGACTATTAAATTCACTGAAAAAAACATTGCGGGTGATCTAGAGTATTCCAATGTAACCATGGATACCGCGATCGTATTCATGTCTACATCGGATATAATGTTCAAGTATGTTAATAGTTGTCAAGATGTTTGATCAAACTTAATCAGTATCTAAAAAAAGTAATATTGGATTGCAATACATATTGAAGGCTCAACAAGGTTTCTCCTTGTGAGGCAAGTTAGAGATGGGGAAAGTTTAAATACATTAAACTATTTTTTTTGTACCATTCAAATAATATTTGATTTTCGACTTTGTAATGTCATGTTGACTCATTATAAAACATGGCAGTACTCCCATGATGCAACTCACTTATCACTTAGATATTGTCATAAAATACTGATTTTCCTAGAAATGGCTTCAGAAAATGACAAGCTATGAAAAATAATGAAAAGTGGTTACACAATTATTTTTAAATAAAACCAACTTTATTTACTCAATTACAAAAATTTCAACTGACAGACAGTGGAGCCCATTATGTCATTAAACATCCAATAAAATATACATATAATATCCCTTATGCTTACGATACATAAGCAATGTAAAACTAATCATGTCAGTTGAATTATATTTCTGATGAAATGTTTTATTTGGTATAATAGGTGGAAGATATATTGTAGAAGGTGAAAATGAGAAGAAAATTATCACTCAAGGCAGTTATAGAATACAAGATCCTGAGGAAATATTCCACATGTGTAATTGAAATTATAAAACACTAAATTTTTAGGGAACCACATACTTTGTACTGTATCCTGCCAATAGGCTCATTCATACAACTCACCAAAAAATGTTAACACCTCAAGTATTGGAAGGTTGCGAAAATGATCACACAAATAAATGACAATTAAATAAAAGTAAAAAGGAAACCGAGACAACCTGTGGTGCTACTATGTTATTTGTGCCGAAAACACAATCCTATTTTAAGTGACTAAAAAAGACCTGCCGACAGTACACGGGTCAACAATCATGCCTCCCAAACACAATTGTTTAAGTTATCACACCCATCTCTCTGCTGAACTCTATCTTACAGGTTATGACCTCTAATACTTGACACAATTACAAACATGCTTTTCTTTCACTTTAGAGGTGTGTGAACTTTTATTGTCTCCCCACTTTTTACCAGCATAACAAGGTGGCAATAGATTTTTGCCCAAAAGACAATTCTTATACATTCTTGATGATTTCTCGGGAGAAATGATTTGCTTTTCATGTTTTTTAACATCGTCCACAAGCTTGATGTAAATATCCCCCCCCCCCCACGAACCCGTGTATTGGAGAGCTACAATACATTGAATGAATGTGAACTGAAACGAGACAATGCACATGCATTTCTCAAGTTAAAGAAATAGTGTAAAAGTATTTTTACTTTTTTTTTCACTGAACAGAAAGCAAAAATGCTATCAATTGAAAATACTGCTTGCATGAAAATTATGAAATATAAATTGAAATAAATTGCACTACAAATCAATGATTTATAAAGTATGGGTATGCAACTTTGATGTCTATGTACATCAGATTTCATTAACTCCTGAGTGCATACATCAACAGAACAAATTTTAAGCAATGGCATCACAAAATGAAAACCTGGGAGTGTTTGATTGTGTAAATAAGAATGAGCACGAATTTTACCGAAAACTAGAAAATCACGTAATACTCGTAGACGCTTTGCGAGTAAACAAAGATGCAAGTAGAAACGGTCCTCAGATGAACACTAACCAGATCTTTCACAGAATCACTTACAACATGTATTTGCAATTAGGTAATTTCCAGAAATGCAAGTTTGTCTACTGTACAATACTTTATTTTCGCTATTTTCGCTATTTTCGCTGAAGGGATGATTCCGTGAAAATAAAATCCAGCGAATATACTTTTTTTCCTATTAAACTCATAAAAAATCAGTGAAAATAGATTCCATACAAAATGCCCAAAAAGTCTTTTCAGCGAAAATTAATTCCAGCGAAAATAAAGTCCTCCACAGTATTTCAATTCATATCTAAACACCAACATACACTCTTGTTATAAATAATTGTGTCAACCCCCACAAGTAATACAAAATAATTGATCACTTGAATGTTACATGCCAATAAAATACCTAAAGTGTTTTCAAAAGAACAATTATAGACAGTGTCTGTCTCTTGAGGCAGAACTTTTAACCATTGATTAATGGTTAACCAAATAAATTTTAAGATGTTTATCAAATACTTCATTTTTAATGGACAAATTTTGTAACATGAATAATTCCTATCATTCATATTGATTGATCACATGATTATAATCCAATAACAGAAAATAAAACATTAAACTTATTAACCTAACATGGACTGAATAAACTTCAAGTGAATGAAAAGACAATAACTATGTAAACTAAGGGTTCAATCCACGACAGAATGGCATCTGTACAGAGTGAAAGAGATCAAAATAAAGTAAATGGGCATAGACCCACAATTTAATGAGATTATGCTTGTTGATAGGAATAGTATATATCAATAATATCGATAACCTTTGTGTTGAACCCTCAATCCCTTGGGGGGGTCACTACTGTTTTTATTTAAACAAATAATGTATTAATTTTGCAATGTCTTTTTAATTCAGTGAGAAAATAAAATTAATCCAACTTACAATTCATGCTTGTTGATAAACATTCAAATTTACAAAATTGTGAGTGAAATGAAAGAAAACCAATAGACAATCATAATGTTCCTGGAATTGAACATTTCTTCTGCTGATGGAATCATTCTGTTATTATAAACACTGTTGATGGTGAGTGGTCATTGCAACTGAACACATCCTACAACATGTTGATAAATAATTGTACAGCCTCAATTTATGTAATTTTTGCAGAATCAATTGATATTATTCACAAAACTGCAATTAAACTGAATACTAAAACATTTCATAAAAAAACAAAAATTAAATCTGAACATTATACAGTGTGCAATATATTGTCTCGGATAATATAAACTCATTAAAATATTCATTTTTTTTCATTTTCAGGCAATAAATCCAATTATAAAGACTGTATACATTTTATATATTGACAATTGTTGTAAACATGAAAAGAAATTTATTGTAATATATATTGGCAGCACATCTTAGTGAACTTAATATGGCTAGACTGTGCAAATGTTTAAAATTTGTAAACAATATAAATTTATTTATTAACCACATTAGGAACCACAGCTCTTTGGGTACTATAAACAATAATGCATGTCAAATCTGTTGACAATGACATATACGTCAGCTTATGTAAAATGATTAGGATTAAAATTAACCAATCGTACACACATTGAAATAGATACATGCCATTTTACCGGTACAGAATTTGGCAAAATGCATAAATTAACTATCTTAATTTAGCTAGTGTCAACAATCTCATTGTGAGAATATATTTTAAATTAGCTACATCTGGAATTAGTGAAACTACAGATTAGCTAAAAAAAGTTCAGGCTGAAAAGACACGTTTTACAGTAATTTTGAAGATGGATAAAACTTTTCATAACCTAGGTATTTCTTTGAGCATTGTAATTAGTAGTGATGTCACATCATACTTTCAGTGGCTATCTTAAAATAATCAGAACTTGAATAAAAATAAGACCGAATGACTAAAACTAAATACAAGACCAAAACTAAATATAAGACTTAGAATTATGAAGACATATGTGGAGGACAAATCAAGCACTCAACATTCTAATTGTTACTTTCATACAAATCTGTGTGCTATGGCAGCATAGTGGGAACCCTGGAGTTTATCTAAATGACAAACAAAAAATATTGGACAGCAAAGCGACAAGTCTTGCAACAATTTGACGAGTTCCTCCAGAGACATCCAGCAGTATTAATTTGAGCTTCATTAATGATTTTTGAACTGATATTATTGCATAGGCAGTATATGATAAATGTGGAAGCAATTAAAATATAAAAGTTAATTAAAAAGTACTGTAGATTTAATTTTGGAATTAATTTTCGCTGAAGAAATGATTCAGTGAAAATAAAATCCTGTGAATATACCTTTTTTCCTATATTTTACATTCAACTTGTCAAAAATCAGTGAAAATAAATTCCATACAAAGCACCAAAAATGCTTTTCAGCGAAAATTAATTCCGGCTAAAATACAGTATTTTACAGTAATTAAAAAAAATGTCAGAAGTACTCAAAAATGCAATGCCAGAAAATCAAATTAAAAAAACAAAAGATAACAAATAAATTTCAATTTTTAATACCCTTACATCAAAAAACAATTTCACTGAATATGATTCCAGATTAATAAATTAAAATAATGGAAATCCGCATGTACTGATATTGTCCAGAATAAAATATATATATATATATGTATACTTTGAATCAAATTATCTCCATAAGTGCTTAAGTTCTGGTGCTAAACATCCCTAAGCCAGTTATAAAATAGTTTGAAAACTTCAATTTGAGTCATTCAACAAACAACCATCATTTCTGCATTTTGGATGTTGGCACTTAATGTAGAGGTGAGAAAATGTATACAACTCCAAATAGTTCAAACTGAAATTGTAATAGCTCACATTAATTCTTACAGCAAGAATGATTCAGAAATATTTTTTTAATCGATGCTTCCAGAATAAAATCATCCCTCAAATGAGCTTGACAGGAATCTGTTTTCTGTAAGTTTGTAAAAATTGCAGTTTGTTTTTTTCACATAATTAGAATGTACTACATTAGTTTGGTCAGCTAGTAAACATGTTGGAACACGCGCATGCAACAGCCAAGTGATATTAGTGTCGAAATACCCCAGTCATCGCGCCAGCAGGCCCACATCTCACTATAGCTAGGATACACAATCTACGATGAAGGCGGTTTTGGAATTTGGAAGCAATCATGTTTAGGACATTCATAAATTCTGAATCAAATAAATTAGCTTGACAATGTCTCCAATCTAGAAGTTAAAATAAAAAATATCAGGCGTGGCTGTGCTCCTATATTGATGCATCAGTGCCATACAAGGCTTTTTTTTTGATGTAACCAGAAATATAGTTGATTGTATTCTGTCACAGACGCACACACTTAAATCACTTGCATTGCAAATATAATTTCACTTTATGATTTGACACAGTACACAAATCATACCACTACTTCAGAATATCGAACATCAGATTATGTCTATTGCATAATTCTTAGACTGCCACAATAATAACTAGTCACAAATGATGGACCATTCTGAAAACATATTTCATACAGCAACTATACACATGAAACCCAGACTTGATTCATTTTTTTTTTTTTTTTTACAAATTTTCTATAAAACACAATCTAAAGCACAAACATGGATTCTAAAATCTATGCAAAAATAATACAAAAGCAGTACACACACAAATTTGAAAATACTGATTATAACGATAATTTGTACACAAGATTTTACAGTACAGTGTCATTAATAGGCCCAGGTTCACTAAGCACTGCTTTTCTACGGGCGACAGCTTCCAAGACTTTTCTACGAGGACCAAGAGGTAAATTGATGCCTTTCAAATCTTTATCGCTGCATAACATAAGCGAATCTAGATCAATCTGTTCATTTGTAAATAATGGCAAGTAATCAGTTAATCCGTGGGCAGCCAAGAATAATTCTAATGGTGAACTTATGACATCATCGTCGTCATCTTCCAAATCAAGGTCATCTGCATCCCAGGGAAGAGTGCTTGCAGCATCAGTCCCAAGGCTTGTACTTTCTCCTTGGGTATTAACTTGATGTTCAATGTCAATAACGTCATCTAGGGTGTCTTCGTCATTCATCGGTAAATGTTGTTTACCATCAACGTCATTCGATAGCAACACCGGTGAAGCTACTGACGGTAGGAACATCATGCCAAATCCATTTCTTGCTGGTTTTCGTGAATCCAGATCGTCTTCCAAGTCTTGAAAACCAGAGTCTCTTGTACCTCCGTATTGTAACACAGCATTACTATGTGTCACTTTGCTGTCAAACAGATCATCTGTTAATGGCTTCCGTGCGGAGGATGATTCGCTCATCATCATGACACTGGCATTCGTAGTTGAGCGCACAGAACGCTTGCTGGCATCATCTACAGGTTGCGTGAAACCACCAAATGTCCCATTCGAATGACGCTTTTTCTCAACTCTCCTTTCGATGTATCCTGGCCTACCTTTGTTCATAGCTGCTGAATATGGCATATTCGGGGGTGCCGTTGAATGACCTGAAGCTTTGACATAAGGTTTTTGCTGCTGTTTGTTCAATTTCTTCTCTTCAAGTTGCATTTGTTTTTCTTGCTTAGTGACTATCTTACTATATTTTTTGATCCGCTTGTCAGCATCAAGGATCGCTTTTTCTTTGAGTCGCTTCACCATCTTTTTATTCAGAGCAGACTGCTTCCCAGCAACGCTATCTAGAGCATGTACAATCTCAATTCTTTGACGAAGAGCAGCAACATCTAACGGTGTACGGTGATCGTTATCCAAAGCCCATATGTTGCAACCAAACGACACAAGAAATGTCACACAGTTCAAATCTCCATTGGCGGCAGCGAAGTGTAATGGTGTGTTGCCTAACAGGTCACACTTATCAGGATCACCTCTACAAGAAAATAAAGATTGAGAAAATACTATATCAATTATTACAATAGTAACAATTATTAAACATATTACGCAGACACTTTTAATGCTTGGTATTTCAAATCTTATTGCAGTATAATTGGCAACTCACTATTAAAATGGTCTCTATTGCAATAAACATGAAAAATAACTTGCGTCAGTGTCCCACATGTAAGAAGCTCTTGTGGCTATTTCTTATTTATTCAATTTTTACTGTAATTTCACGACTTCTCTGAAATTCATACTACTGCAAAAAACTTTATTTTCGCTTGGAATTAATTTTCACTATTTTCGGTGAAGAAGTGATTCTGTGAGAATAAAATCCAGCGAATATACCTTTTTTCCTATATTTTATATTCAACTGACCAAAAATCAGTGAAAATAAATTCAATACAAAACACCCAAAAAGACTTTTCAGCGAAAATTAATTTTGTCTAAAATAAAGTATTTTACATACTGTCATTGCCCAATTAACCTGAAACATATTTTTATCAGTCAAAATATTTTAAAAACATTACAAACCAGTCATAAAAAAAAACATACAAGCTTTAAAATTGCAATTTGAAAATTACTAAATTTTGTATGATGTACCAACACTTATATAAATTGACTGCCATACGGATTTTTTGTCTCAGTGGAGGTATGTATGGGGGTCTAAAAACTAACTCTGCGACGCGATTGTGTGACT